TTAAATTATAATAAAAAAATTGAATTAAATAAACCACACAAAAATAAGAACTTTTAAATAATTAATTTGATACTAATATTGATATATTTATTTTTGAAATTTTATGATATCTTCAAATTTATATTTTATTCAAAAATAAAAATATTATTTCTTTCTCAAAACCACATAAAATCCGTATCAAAACATCTACAAAGACAAAATAAAACGAAATATTAAAATCGAGATGTATTTTGCTGCATTGTACGAATACCTTTCTAGTAGGTAAAAATATATGATATATACTAAAGCAACAACATATGGTTGCGTATATAACCATTGATACATCTTATATCCACATATAAATGTCGTATGTTTGTGTACATGATCAAATGTGATTGTATAATTTATACTATGTTGTACAACGTGTGTTTGTTACAAGTCAATATGCAACAGAGATAAAAAGTTTTAAAAGTAAAAATGTCTAAATTTTAGGAGGTACAGTATTTAAAATATTAGGTATAACTACTGAAGTTTATGTTATTAAATAAATGGTTTTTAAATCAGTGTAATGAGAAAAAGATGCAGTTACAAAATGTATGCAATATACTTTATGTGCCTTACTATCTTACATCCTAAATTACAGAATTATCCAAGTTGCAAATGCTATCCAAATTTCTAAAATTCAACTAATAAAACAAACGTTATTTATCCAAAGTATCTAGGCTCCAGATTTGTAACGCCCCCAGAACCCCGTAGCAATGATATTGTCCGCTTTGACTAACATGTCCGTTAAACCACAAAGCAGTAGCCGCACGGTTTTGTTTCTGGCAGCCGCACAACGCAAGCCCCAAAACGCGTCATCGCATATCAGAGTCCGCAGCACGGAAGCGATAGATATTGTCCGCTTTGGYACGCTAAACCACAATGCCTCACGGTTKTACTTCTTGCCCGCTATACCACAAGGCAAGACGCGTCATACTAGGTTGAGGTATCCACACCCTTATAAGGAGTGTTTAGTTCTCCTCACCAACCGATGTGGGACGGGTTGTTACAAGATTCCTCCAATTCAGCCGATTCTAGTGTTAAGGTTTTCTTCAAAATTATTTTGATCTATACAAATCCACTTTTACGTTATGTCTAGACTGCACTTTATGGTAGTGTAAGTATAAAGGCAGAGGAAAAACCAAAAAAGTAGAAAACACAACTTAGCCCTCTTTAAGGTTGAAATACTTCCATGTTTTCTTTTTTCCAGTTTTTTGTTGAACTAATCATACCAACATGGATACATTTTTGTGGAATATACGATCTCTATATGAGAAGATATGGAATGAGAAAATGATGAAAACTTGAGAGAACTCAGATAATAGCGAACATAGGGTTTATAATTTCAACACTTTCTCTATATATGTGAGTAACTGTTTATGTATGTGTGTGTGTATATATATATATTGATTTAAACCGCCAAACCCAATACTAGAATAGACAGTGTAATAACTCAAATCTTAATTTTGGTAAAAATAAAGATAAAGTTGCAAGAGTGGTTAAAAGAAATTTCTTAATTCAGGCTAAAGGAGTTGGGCCTCTAGTTTCCCCATCAGTTGATCGATTTCTTCAAGGCGCAAGTGTGTGTGTGTGTGATTATGAGAAGGGATGAAAGTGTGGAGAAGGAGATAAATGGAGGTTTATAGGTCAAGTGGTTTAAGCCTCTATTTCATGTACTATTGTCATTTCTCCGTGTCTTTTCTTTATATGACTAAAATCAATGTAGGGTCCTATGATGTGGTTGGCCCATTTTGGGTGATAAAATGATTCTATTTATTGGGAACTCTTTGAATATTGAATTTCATTTGGGATCCTTGGTTTAAATCAACCTCGCATGGTGTTTAGGGGTGGAAATTGATCTAAAAACTTCATAGATTGCATAATCCTATCAAGTTGTTACGATAATTCATGGTTTTGATGGTTAGTTCAGTTTAGAGGAGGTGTTGGGTGATTATATGTTGATTTTAGTTTGAACCTTTGTTTATATTTAAGTAAAAAAACAGTGGGAAATTGAGTTTGGAGCTGTAATGCTCGAACAGGGTTGTACAAGTGGAACAGAAGTTCCCGAAGGTAGCCCCCATGACCTAAGGAAGGTGTGTACCTATAAAGAGCACATGAGTTCGTTTTATGTAGCCTATAGAAAAGGTAGGTGTGTAGCCTGGTGACTGGTCACAGGTGCGTGACCCTAAATGTGCATGGTCGTTGTAACGTGTGTCGGTACGTTTGGTTTAGTTAAAGGGTTGTTTATTAGTATCTACCAGAAGATAAAGGTGAAATTTCCCCCATTTACCCTTCAAAATCATCAACGAAACACGTCAATCAACAATACCTTAATCCACAACCCCTCATTCAAACAGAATGATAGTATTGGAAGGAGATGCTGACGATTGGGGGACTTAAGAAAGACGACATCGACCGAACGACGGGAACAATGAGATGGGATCGAGCAGACGACGGAAGCAAGGATACAACGGTGACCGAATGACGGGAACGAGGAGATGTCGTCGACCAAACGATGGAAGCAAGGACACAACAATGACCGAACAACGAAAACAAGAAAACTAAAGCGATTGCACGATATAAGCAGATAGATGGCAATAGTCGAACGTTAAAAAACAGAGACAACAAGGATCGGACGATGGAAGCAGAGAGATGCCAACAGTCGAACGATGGAAGCAGATAGACGCCAACGATCAGATGTAGGGAGCAAAGACGGGATGCTATTGGGTTTCTTTATGGCGTCTAAAGGGTTTACTCAATGACCCTAAGGAAATGTATTGTACTTTTAAATATAAAATGACAATCTCATCTAGTATTTTTAGATATAATATATCCTAATAAACTCTTTGAGAAATTGTGTATGGTTTTCGTGATTATGAATAAATTCATTTAAAACTTTTGCATTAAATTTACAGTAAATATAATAACATTACAATTAGATAAATATAAAAAAAATCATATAAACTGAATATTGTGTTTTATAAAGTTTTTGATATATCAGTACAATAAATAATTGATTCAAATAAAAGGGTATAACAGTCACTTTTAATTAGTCAGCACTTAATATAAAATATTGGGTAAACACCATTTTTATCCATCATTTATTTGTTTCAGACATTTTATTTCAATCAGACCTCTTATTTCAATCAATGTTTATTCAAAATATATGATAACCAGTTACTGGAAGAGCAACGAACAAGATTTCAAATTGTTATCGTTATTCAATATCAATATATTTGTTTATAAATTGACATGATAATTAAACTATAAAAATAACTTGATTGAAAAATCTATTTTTTTTAATTTATGAAATAATTTAACATTTTATAAAATAGTTGAGAGGCATTTTCAATATTTTATTGAGTGTTTTTTATCTTTTAACCAATTAAAGTTGATAAAATACTTAGGGAGTGTATGAGATTGCTTATAAAAACAAATTATTGACTTATTTCGGTATGACATCAGTAATAAACATTTTTTAGTGTTTGGATAAACAACTTGTAGCGGTGTCAAACCGGTAACAAGGAGTTTTTGAAAACAATTAAACCATTCTAACTTATAATAAGTTGATAAATGCTTTTGTAAAAAAATAAGTTGTTTTAAATAAGCAATCCCAAACACCCCTTTAGAATCAAAAATTTCTTATATTAGTATTTATCAATAGTTTTATATTATCTTAAATTTGTTATTGTACCTTAAATATTGTTATTCGAATCGAAAACTTCTTATGTAGATGCCTCAGTTGTCGATTATTATATAATTTTGCTGTGAGAACAATATTTGAATGTTTTGATAGATCGAAAACTTCAAATAATATAATTTTATTGTGATAATGATGTGATAAGTCAAAAACCAGTGATAGTCACATTCAGAATCATTGGCTCAGTCTCTTCATTATGTGCTTTGTATTTTTTCCCCCGTTTTACTCTTGCATTTCGATATTCCTAAATGAAGTAAATGTTTATTTAATATTGTACTATTTCCTTAATCTCTTTAAAATTATGACTTCAAACAAAATGATAAGAGTTTATAAGTGTTCCCGTATTTACGTAAATCACATGTGTTCTCTTTGAACCATTATCTGAATATATATAATGATAATGTAATAAATGTTTGCAAGCCGTAAATCACACCAAGAAAAACGTCTATTAAGACTTGAGACTTGACATCATTTAGAACCAAGCTTCTAAGATGTGATGGTTCAGAACGGTGGTGGTTGGTGGTGGTGGTCGTCGGTGGTTCAGATCGGTGGTAGTCGGCAATAGTTAATATAAGTGGTAGTCGGCGGTAGTGGTGGTCGACGGTAGTTCAGATCGGTGGTGGTGGTCGACGATAGTTCAGATCGATGGTAGTTAGTGGTGGTGGTTCCAATCAGTGGTAGTCGACATTGGTTCAGATCTGTGGTAGTCGGTGGTGGTTCAGATCAATAGTAGTCGGAGGTGGTTGATGATGGTCATATTGAGTTTTATGAGATTAGAGTATATTAGGTTAATGACATATTTGGTATAATGAAGATAAAAATTTCATTTCATCAAAATACATAGTTGCTAAGAAATGTTAGATTCCTTTATTTGTAGAATTTATAGGATTTTAAAGATTCATTTCGTAAAAAAGAATGAACCAAACGAGAGAATATCTATACTATCTTATTAAGCAAATTTAGCAAAAGTCTTAAAGTCTTAAAATTATAAAGGGAAAAGTACAATAAAAACCAATGGACTTTCTTGTTTGGAATGATTAAGTCCTTGGACTTTTTTTGGAACAAATAAATCCTTGGACATTCCAAAACATGTTAAATAAGTCATTGGACAACTTTTGGAACAAATAAGTCATTGGACATTCCAAAATATGTTAAATAAGTCCTTGGACAATTTTTGGAACAAATAAGTCATTAGACATTCCAAAAAGTGTTAAATAAGTCTTTGGACAATTTTTGGAACAAATAAATCCTTGAACAATCCAAAACATGTTAAATAACTTCTTGAACTTTTATAAAACATGTTGGATACATTCTTATGACTTGTACAACTAGTTAAAGTGGTAAAATAGTGAAAAAAATCCGGAAAAAACCCCAATGAACATTCATATTTTGAACGATAAAGTGGTAAAATAGTGAAAAAAATCCGGAAATATATTTTGTCAGTGATTTTTTAAACTAAAAAAAATTATAAAATATATTATTTTTAATTAAAATAAATTTCACCAGTAATCTTTTTAAATATTTTTTTAATTTAAAAAATCACATACATGATATATATATTTTTAATTAAAATAAATTTAATAATAATTATTTTTTTTTGTTTGAAAAATCATTGACAGAATATATTTTAATTTCAATTAAAATAAACTTTATCAAAAATCTTTTTTAAATGTAATTATATTTTTGTAAATATAAGTATTTTTTTGTTATATTTGTTTAATTTTATAGATCTAAATACTTTTTGGTTCAAAAAATATTTAGGGGCTTAATCGTTCAAAATATGAATATTCATTGAGTTTTTTTGGGGATTTTTTTTCACTATTTTACCACTTTAACTAGTTGTACAAGTCATAAGAATGTATCCAAAATGTTTTATAAAAGTTCAAGAAGTTATTTAACATGTTTTGTATTGTTCAAGGACTTATTTGTTCCAAAAATTGTCCAAGGAGTTATTTAACATTTTTTGGAATGTCCAAGGACTTATTTGTTCCAAAAATTGTCCAAGGACTTATTTAACATGTTTTGGAATATCCAAAGACTTATTTGTTCTAAAAAAAAGTCTAAGGACTTAATCATTCCAAACAAGAAAGTCCATTGATTTTTATTGTACTTTTCTCAATTCTAAATGAACAAAATACCTTTTATAATCACTTTTTCATCCCTTCTCTCCTCACATACACTCACACTCTCACAACCAATTTTTTTAAAATTATAATTTTAAATTTACACTTTATACYCYTATAATTAATTAATTAATTTACTTTACGTCCTTTACTTTAAATGTTTCATTTTAAACCTTTATCAAATTAACATACATAATCGTATATCAATTAAAACATGTTTAAAAAATAAATTTTTATTTTAACAAGTTACACCATTATAATTATCTCGTTAATACCTTCAAAATGAGTTCAATATTTAATAGTTTTTGACTTAATTATATTATTATATATTATATATACTGTAATTTTTTTTAATATTTACGATTTATACTTTTATAGTTATTTATTTATATATATACTATATATTTTGGAGTTAGACTGTTCAAATTACACTGTATAATATGTTTTGAATTAATATGTTCTTGGTTTTTTTTGAAATATATATATACACATATATTAATTCAACCTTAATATGAGTTTCTGGACAAAAAAATGATAAGCAATTAAAATTTCATTCTAAAACTCATCTTTTTTTATTTTTTCATGGCTTATGATCTATCAAATTTGTAGTTTTCTTTATTGATTTTGAGTGTTTATCTTAAAACTCAAGTTTCTTGGTTCTTTGCTCTTGATGTAAATCGAATATATTTGTGGAGTCGTTTAAATATGTTGGATTTTAAATATATTAGATTTTAAACTATTATACAATTTTTTTCATCGATAGTCTGTAATTGGAATCATAACTCTTATTTATTCAAATTGTATTAATATGTAAAGACCAAGTGTAACCTATATCATCGTTAAATCTTACCTTATAAAACCAGTGGAACTTCAAAAATTCATGGCTTCCGCCGCATTGCACGGATAGTAATTTAATCAATGAAACTCAACATCTCAATTCCATCAAATTCCTCCAAATTCACAAACCAAACGGCACCTAAAGAGATTTTTAGACCGCTAGAACAAAGTATTTAGAACAAATTCTTTAAAACGGTGAAAATGAAAATTTTAAAAAATGTTTATGACTTCAATAGATTGTTATAAAACAAATGTTTTAAACATTTTTTGAACTAAATTCCATACAATCCTACGAAATCCCGAACATCATGTCAAAATCCAACGTTTGTAGAATTTCAATTAAATTAAATTTTAAGATCTCAAATCCAAACAATCCATGAAAATGGATTTGAAATTCAAATTCCCCAAATCCATTACTGCAAACCTAACATGACCTAAGACCTGTTTCAATCCATCAACAATCAAATGGTTGTATATGTATAACATACAAACCAACACTTAAAGTTGCGTATTTCTTCAAATCCACAACACGATAACAACAAAAACGGAGGGATTCATCAAGAATCAAAAACAAGAAAGTGTATGGGGGATTGTGTCAGATCACATAATCTCATCAAGATTAAATCTATCAGACAGGGATAACTGTGTAAATATAGAATCTCATCATCCACAACCCACTCCAAATGAACCATCTAAACTCCTAAAAGAAAATGGAGTCGAAAAATAGCCTCAGACCGTCCTAGTTCATGATTTTCAACAACGTAACTGCCATTAAAACCAGCTTTTCAGTAAACCATAATTAAAAAACTGTCATCAATGGCCAATAAAATCAACATCAGAGAAAGAGAGATGAATCAGATTTTCCAATTCAGAACGGAATAAAATACCCAAAACTATAAAAACAAAAACAAAGAGAGATCGAACTTGAAAGGGTGGCAGCAATGAATCGAAAAACGTAGGGTTTTGAATGGCTTGATGATGGTTTACGGTGAGGAGATGCGTATTTATAGCGTGCGGTGGTCGGCGGTGGTGGAACGACCTACTTACTTGACCTAAACCCAACGGGCTTTTCTGTATCATATTTGATTTGTTGGGCCAAGCCCATTTATTACAAATATGGATAATTTTTATCGTTAGTGGATAATAGAAAATTAATGTCTTTTTTATTAAAATTGAAAATCTAAATATTTATGAAGTATTTTTAATCTATTAGTACAGCTTAAAAGTTTATTTATTTATGTTTGAACGTGTTTATCAGTTGGTAGTTATACAAAGTTTTAAAAGTTGTATATATATACAATATTAAGTTATGAACTTGAATTTTAAGATATCTTAAAAATATATTGTAAGATATTTAATGAATCAAATTTGTATTTGATCAGTTAATAATTTAATTTTACTCATAATCCAACTGATCTTTACTTCTGGTGTTGTTTAACAAGGGTTGCAACGATACCAACAATAACCTAAGTTTATTTTTTTATGGAATTTAATCTTCCTTTTTATCGCATATTTGCGGCTTTTTCTATATGTATTGTCACAAATTATGTTCTTTATATGAATATGTATATAATATTTTATTGAAGGGCAGATTGTATTAATACAAAACGTGGTATGTTTCGCTTTTTATTTTGGAAAACCTAGTTTTAGAATCCCCATTTTGGGGTATAGGAAAATGGTATCTTTAAATTAGAAATAAAACGAAACCCATCAAGAAATTTTTTACCTCATTAAAGTCGGGATTTGTAACTTTGTGATGAATGAGGATGAAAGATTTTTCAGAAGGTCACAACCACCATCTCACGGGTACGGTTTGCAACATCACGATTTTTTCCTTTTTTATTCTTCTTTTCTACTGCAATGAGCAACCACGACCATCAAATCCAAAATGGTTAGGTTCTTGTGACTTATGGGAAGGTTACACTCGTTTTCAGAAGTAATGGATTTGGTTTTGAGTTTGGAATTGATTTGGGAAGTGGGGGAATAAGAAGGGAAAAAAGCTGTGCGAGAAGATTATTGGAAAAAGGCTGTCAAATTTTTTTGATCGAAATTGAAATCATACAGGGTAGGATTCTAAGGGAAAAAAAGATCTGTAGAAAGTGATGGTAAAGATGCATGATAATACGTATAATTATTTTATTTGAGAGAACCAATCGTAATTTTTATACAATCACGTGGTTAAAATTTGTAACTTACTCTTAAAAGAATTATTGATGCCAATTATCACTCTCTTTATTTATATATTAGAAGCGTACTCGTGCAATGCAGCGAGATACATCGTGATTTTAATATTTTATTTTATTCTTTATCTCAGCTGATGTTATAATATGGCTTTATGTGATTTTGAGAAAACGATGATGTTTT